GGTTTAATACACATTACATTTAAAGAAAGCACAGCCCAAAGGGTGTCAGTGGGGTGTATGAAGGAAGCCTGGTTAGTGGAGAGAGTGGGATTAGGGAACAGTTGCTTAACCTGGCTTGTTTCAAATCCCCCTTAATCCCTTTTTGCCCTCAAAAAGTTCCCCTCATTTTTCCCCTCTACTTTCTAATTTCTCACCACGCACTCACACAGCTATACGGCTGTCTCCAGAGATTGCTCTGGAAACTCTGCTATAAAGATGACTTGGTCTAATGCCTTGATTTTTTTTTTTTTTTTTTTTTTTGAGACAGGGTCTCACTCTCCTGGAGTACAGTGGCACAATCAGGGCTCACTGCAGCCTTGACCTCCTGGGATCAAGCGATCCTCCCACATAGCTGGGATTATAGGCACACAGCACCACTCTCGGTTAAATTTTTTTTTGTTTTTTTGTAGAGATAGAGTCTCGCTATGTTGCTCAGGCTGGTCTTGAACTCCTGGACTCAAATGATCCTCCCACCTTGGCCTCCCAAAATGCTGAAAATATAGGCATGAGCCACTGCACCAGGCCTAATGTCCTGATTTTATAAATACCAAAACTAGGGCCCAGAGAGAAGAGACAAAATTAAGATCACCATACTGGTTAGTATCTGAAGTAATACTGACTCTTTTCACACCTAATCCAAAGGTTTTTCAGCTACCTCAGGTTGCCTCTCATCTTCCAGCGGATGCCATCCAGCACCTTTCAGACACTGGCAAAGGAGCAGTGTTTCAGAATTACTTTCCAAATGGCCTCCTACAAGGCAGTCCTCAGAGAGAAGCAAGGTTCTGCATCTTAAGCCTTCCTTGGTTTCTTAGGTTCCAAAGCTGTTTCTATCAGTCTCCAAGCAACCAACTCTTTAGAATTCCATGAGTCTACTCAGAGAACTTGTGCGTTCAGTCAGGGGTACCTTCAACTATTTATTAAATTTCCTTCTTTGTAAACTGAGCTTTGTGAAATTGCATCTTATTTATGGTGGTTTCACGGATTTTTTGGTCTTTTTTTTTTTTTTTTTTTTGAGACAGAGTCTCACTTTGTCGCCCAGGCTGGAGTGCAGTGGTGTGATCTCGGCTCACTGCAACCTCTGCCTCCCGGGTTCAAGCAATTCTTCTGTCTCAGCCTCCCATTACAGGTCACACCACCACACCCCACTAATTTTTGTACTTTTAGTAGAGACGGGGTTTCAGCACTTTGGCCAGGCTGTTCTTGAACTCCTAACCTCAAGTGATGCGCCGCCATGGTGAAACCCTGACTCTACTAAAAATACAAAAATCACTGGCCATGGTGGTGCATGACTATAATCCCAGCTACTCAAGAGGATGAGGCAGGAGAATAGCTGGAACCCGGGAGCCAGAGGTTGCAGTGAGCTGAGATCAGACCACTGCACTCCAGCCTGGGTGACAGAGCAAGACTCTGTCTTGAAGAAAAAAAAAATTAAAAAAAGATAGGTGGCTGAGTGTGGGGTGGCTCATGCCTATAATCCCAATACTCAGGGAGGCCAAGGTGGGAGGATTGCTTAAGCCAGGAGTTTGAGACCAGGCAACATAGGGAGACCCGGTCTGTACAAACAGTCTAAAAAATTAGCCAGGTGTGGTGGTGCATGCCTGTGGTCCCAGGTACTCGGGAGGCTGAGGTGGGAGGACTGCCTAAGCCTGGGAGGTTGAGGCTGTAGTGAGCTATGATTGCACCACTGCACTCCAGCCTGGATAACACAGTGAGACACTCGTCTTAAACAAACAAACAAATACTATGCATAAAACTGCAAGGCTCAAGAAACAACAGTTTGAAGTAGTTAGATGTGTGTGTTCTTTGATTTTCATGTCTCATCTATTCTGTTTTTTTTTTTTTAAGAGATGAGGTATTGCTCTGTTGCCCAAGCTGGTATTGGGCTCCTCCTGGGCTCAAGCAATCTCCTGCCTAGGCCTCCCTCTGAACAGCTGGAACTACAGGCATGCACCACTGCACCCAGCAACTGGGGTAGTGTTTGACTAGTCTTTTTTAAAGATATGTTAATATCTTGGCAAAAAGTATATTTATACTGTTCTCTCACCTTTTTTCATCAGTTTCATGGAAAAATGCTCATCATATATTCTTCTGCTATATAACTTTAAACGGTTACGCTGCTTTCCTTTATGACATCACAATTAAACCGGTTAAACCAAATTCATATTGCTAACTTGTTTCTCATTTTTCTCTATTAAAATGATATGATAAGCATCCTTGTAGCCAAATATTTACACAATTCATGAAGCTTTACTTAAAAGAAATTCCTAGACGTGGAACTGTGAGTCAGAGAGAATGGATCTTTTATATATTTTTGCATAGATTGCCATGAAAAGGTCATACCAGTTTATACATCCACCAATATATGAGTTTCTTTTCCAAATCTTCTTCAACATCCTGTGAGAGACAGTCAAAGCATAGCTGTTCAGAGCCCAGGCTTGAGAATCAGATTTCAAAGGTATGAATCCTCTCCGTTTTTCTTTATCCTTTCTTTCTTTTTTTTTTTTTTTGAGACGGAGTCTTGCTCTGTCGCCCAGGCTGGAGTGCATTGGCGCGATCTTGGCTCACTGCAAGCTCTGCCTCCCGGGTTCACGCCGTTCTCCTGCCTCACCCTCCCGAGTAGCTGGGACTACAGGTGCCTGCCACCACGCCTGGCTAATTTTTTGTATTTCTTTTTTTTCAACAGAGATGGGGTTTCACCGTGTTAGCCAGAATGATGTTGATCTCCTGACCTCATGATCCGCCTGCCTCGGCCTCCCAAAGTGCTGGGTTTACAGGTGTGAGCCACCCCGCCTGGCCCCTTTTGCTTTTTAGAGACAGGGTCTTGCTGTGTTGTCCAGGTTGGTCTCAAACTCCTGGCCTTAAGCAATCCTGCCACCTCAGCCTCCAAGTAAACTGGAATTGCAGGCAGGAGCCACCTTGCCCAATTTCCACTTTCTTTTTTTTTTTTTTTTTTTTTTGAGACGGAGTCTCGCTCTGTCGCCCAGGCTGGAGTGCAGTGGCCAGATCTCAGCTCACTGCAACGCTCCCGGGTTTACGCCATTCTCCTGCCTCAGCCTCCCGAGTAGCTGGGATTACAGGCACCCACCACCTCGCCTGGCTAGTTTTTTGTATGTTTTAGTAGAGATGGGGTTTCACAGTGTTAGCCAGGATGGTCTCGATCTCCTGACCTCGTGATCTGCCCGTCTCAGCCTCCCAAAGTGCTGGGATTACAGGCTTGAGCCACTGCGCTGGCCAATTTCTACTTTCTAGCTGTGTTATCTTCAGAAAATTAGTTACATTATCTGGGCCTTAATTTACTAATAGGGTTCTTGTAAGTATTAACAATTAGTTACTATTGACAGGTGAAGAAGGTGGGCTTCTGGGTTAGGAGGACTTGGAGAACTTCTCTGTCTAGCTAAAGGATTGTAAACGCACCAATCAGCACTCTGTCTCTAGCTGAAGGTTTGTAAACACACCAATCAGCACTTGGTAAAAAACGGACCAATCAGCACTCTGTAAAATGGACCAATAAGAACTCTGTAAAACGGACCAGTCAGCGCTCTGGAAAACGGGCCAATCAGCAGGATGTGGGCAGGGCCAAATAAGGGAATAAAAGCTTGCCCTGTCACCACCATTGGTTTGCCCAGCTAGCAGTGCCAAGCAGAGTGGGTTTTCGTGTTTGGTCCTTTTGCTCTTACGCGGTAAATCTTGCTCTTGCTCACTCTTGGGTTCGTATTGTGTTTAAAAGCTGTAACACCCCGAAGGTCTGCAGCTTCATTCCTGAAGCCAGTGAGACTACGAACCCACTGGGAAGAACAAACAACTCTGGAGTGCCCCGCCTTTATGAGCTGTTAACACTCACTGTGAAGGTCTGTGGCTTTACTCCTGAAGTCAGCGAGATCACGAACCCACTAGAAGGAAGAAACTGGGGACACATCTGAACATCCGAAGGAACAAGCTCCGGACACACCATCTTTAAGAACTGTGACATTCACTGCGAGGGTTTGCAACTTCATTCTTGAAGTCAGCGAGACCAAGAACCCACTGGAAGGAACCAATTCCGGACACGCTATTATTTACTTTCTTTAGTTCCTGAGACTTCTGTGCACCGAATATACTTGGTGTGCCACGGAACCTATACAAAGGTACTTAGAACAAACAGGAAATTGTAAGATTAATGACATGGGACATGAGCATTTGGAATGAGATATAAAAGGCTTAACTTGAGGACAGCTGTATTAGAAGCAGAGGCAAACAGGTTTTGTGGGTGTGAAGCTTATGCATTTATAGGTTTCTCTAATTACAAAGATAGGAAATTATAAAATCAGGTACAAGGGCTTGGGAGGGGTCTAAAGCTAAGTTTGATGGAAAAAAAAACAAACAACCCTCTGGTTGGAACCAATAGCTTATGAAAAAGTAGAAAAAAGCCCGATGCATGGGGAGCGCCAGTAGTCCCTTGAGGTATTTGAGAGGCTGAGGCAGGAAGATGGCTTGAGCCCAGGAGTTTGGGGCTTGTAAGTGTGCAGTGATGGTAAACCGCCGCTGTACTGCAGGCTGGCAAAGTAGTGAGACTGTCTTTTTTTTTTTTTTTTTTTTGAGACGGAGTCTTTCTGTCGCCCAGGTTGGAGTGCGGTGGCGCGACCTCGGCTCACTGCAAGCCCCGCCTCCTGGGTTCACGCCATTCTCCTGCCTCAGCCTCCCGAGTAGCTGGGACTACAGGCGCCCGCCACCACACCCGGTTAATTTTTTTGTGTTTTTATTAGAGATGGGGTTTCACCGTGTTAGCAAGGATGGTCTCGATCTCCTGACCCCGTGATCCGCCTGCCTCGGCCTCCCAAAGTGCTGGGATTACAGGCGTGAGCCACCGCGCCCGGCCGACCCTGGTTTTTTTTTTTTTTTTTTTTTTTAAAGTTGACTGATTGGAACAAAAATGAGAAACCAGTGTAAGAAGATAATAACTTACTGGCCGAGCGCAGTGGCTCACGCCTGAAAATCCCAGCACTTTGGGAGGCTGAGGCGGGCGGATCACAAAGTCAGGAGTTGGAGAAATAACTATTACCTCATTTGACTATTTTTACACCTGTAAGGAATGAAGCTCAGAGGTCACACAGGAAGAAGCCAGCACCCTTCGGTGTGGGATTGATGTGGAGGATAGGCATATACAGAGAACACACAAGCAAAACACCATGGTGCGGATTTTGACAGAAAAGCTCTATGATTAGTAATGAGTGTGAATTCTTCAACAAAGTGATCAAAACCAACTTCAGTCCTGCATTCCTCTTCGCCATCAGGAGTTTGGCGCCTCGAGACTGCCCATTCCGCCGGCCAGCAAGCTTCTGGAAAGCAAAACTAGGAAGTTGCTTTCCAACATAAAGTGGAGGTTTCAACACAGCAGACTTTAAGCAAGTTCAAGTGTGTCTGTATTTGGTCGGGCTGATAGGCTGGACTCCGGCCTTCCCAGCTCAGGTTAGCAGACTCCTCTGCCCTAGTGGGCGCTTAGCCTGCGACGGTAGCCTTAGATGATCTCTAACAAGCTTCTTTCTCCCCACCCCCGTTCAGTTGTTCCCAGGTCAAATTCAAAATGGCCGCATCTCCTGCTGTCCTTCGAGCGTCCCGGCTGTACCCATGGAGCCTGAAGAGTTGGGCGCAGTTGCTGAGGTCTCCACAGATGAAGCAGGTTGGCCGGATCATTAGGGTTCCTGCTCGGATGGCGGCGACGCTGATCCTGGAGCCCGCCGGCCGCTGCTGCTGGGACGAGCCGGTGCGAATCGCAGTGCGCGGCCTAGCTCCAGAGCAGCCGGTCACGCTGCGCGCGTCCCTGCGAGACGAGAAGGGCGCGCTTTTCCAGGCCCACGCGCGCTACCGCGCCGACGCCCACGGCGAGCTGGACCTGGAGCGCGCGCCCGCGCTGGGCGGCAGCTTCGCGGGGCTTGAGCCCATGGGGCTGCTCTGGGCTTTGGAGCCCGAGAAACCCTTGCTGCGGCTGGTGAAGCGCGACGTGCGGACGCCTTTGGCGGTGGAGCTGGAGGTGCTGGATGGCCACGACCCCGAGCCCGGGCGGCTGCTGTGCCGGGCGCGGCAGGAGCGCGACTTCCTCCCGCCAGGGGTGCGGCGCGAGCCGGTGCGCGCGGGCCGGGTGCGCGGGACTCTTTTCCTACCGCCAGGTGAGTCACCTCTGCTAATTGTTCCCGTCTGCCCAACTCTGTTCCTGTGCTTTTCACTTTGTGTGTGCGTGCGTGTGTGTGTGTGTGTCGCCCCCCCGCCTCCCCCCTGCTCTTTTCACTTTGTTTGTGTCTCTCCCCCCACCCCACACCCCCGGACTATATTGCCCAGGCGGGTCTTGAACTCTTGGTCTCAAGCTATCCTCCCACCTCTGCCTCCCTAAGAGCTGGGATTACAGGGTGAGCCACCGCGCCAGGCCCTCTGAGGGGAGTTACACTTACTTTTTTATTTTTTATTTTTTCGTGCCTGCGCTTTTCACACGGAGAAAGGATGTAGCTTCCAAGATTCCGAAGGTTAGTGTGAGGAGACAGGAATGGAATGGAAAGCTGGTTGGGGACGTGCCCCTGCCACTCCAAAACTGAGAGGTCCCTCAACCTGGTGCTCAGTTAAAAGACATTGTAAGGGCGGGGCGCGGTGGCTCAGGCCTGTAATCCCAGCACTTTGGGAGGCCCAGGTGGGCGGGTCATGAGATGAAGAGATCGAGGCCATCCTGGCTACCACCGTGAAACCCGGTCTCTACTAAAAATACAAAAAATTAGCCGGGCGTGGTAGCGGGAGCCTGTAGTCCCAGCTACTCAGGAGGCTGAGGCAGGAGAATGACTTGAACCTGGGAGGCAGAGTTTGCAGTGAGCGGAGATTGCGCCACTGTACTCCAGCCTGGGTGGCAGAGCAAGACTCCGTCTCAAAAAAAAAAAAAAAAAAAATTGTAAGGAAAGGGAAAAGACACTTACAATATTAAAAACAAACAAGAAAACAAACAAACAAGAAACAGGCCGTGCCTGGCGGCTAACGCCTGTAGCACTTTGGAAGGCTGAGGCAGGCGGATCACCTGAGGTCAGGAGTTCAAGACCAGCCTGGCCAACGTGGTGAAAACCCTGTCTTTACTAAAAATACAAAAATTAGCCAGGCGTGGTAGTGCAACGCCTGTAGTCCCAGCCAGTCAGGAGACTGAGGCGGGAGAATTGCTGGAACCCGGGAGGCAGAGGTTGCAGTGAACCAAGATCACACCATTGCACTCCAGCCTGGGGAACAACAAAGAGTGAATCTCCATCTAAAAAAAAACAAAAACAACCACAACAACCAAAAAAAAAGGGTAGTTTCAATTTTTTAATGTTCTTACGTATTGACCAGGAAGCCACTTTTTTTTTTTTTTTTTTTTAACAAAAAGAATTTCGACTGGTTTTCTCACTGTATTTCCATGGCAGCCAGGAGGTGCCAGGTGGCTGGGCCTGTGAGGGCACGGAGGTTACGGTGCCTGCCTGCCCGCCCTTGCTCCAGCTGCAGATGCTGCCCCTGCAGGGCGTGTTCGTTCCTGCTGCCTAGCTCCCCGCTGCCTGTCTATGATCTCCCTCCTGTTGTCACTCCAGGAGGGCAGCCACCACCTTGTGCAGGGTAGGACCAGGTACTGATTGTGGCCTCTCCTCTTGGCCTCGAATGGTATGGTTGTCATCAGTGAGCAAGTCCCCAAGACCACGGTCTTGTCCATTGTCAGGATAATTTGCTCCACAAGCTGGGGCTCCAGGTGCTGCCCTACCCAGCAGTGCTTCTCACGCACACAGTGGTCATACTTGGGCAGGGGCTGATGCAGTATGTAGACCTCTGTGTTTTGCATGTGCTTCATCTCTCGCAAGGCCCTGCGGGATTGGGCTCCACGTCTAGGGAAAAGCCTAGGGCTTCACACCCATGGGCCTCTTTATCCACCAGGTCGGGCAGCAGGGTGCGGTACTGCTTCCAGGCCAGGAAGCTGCGGCCCTGCTGCAGTGTCACAGGCAGCTCCCTGAGGAGGGGCGGCTGAAGCCCCGCAGGAGGCCGTCTAGAAGCTGCCAGCACACGGTCCCTGTCCATCAGCACACGCATGGGCTATGCTCGTGGCTGCTAGGGCACTGGGGTTTCTCGGGATCCTAGGGACATGGGCCCACAGAGGCCGAGACAGGCGGATCACGAGGTCAGGAGATCGAGACCATCCTGGCTAACACGGTGAAACCCTGTCTCCACTAAGAAATACAAAAAAACAGCCGGGTGCGGTGGCGGGTGCCTGTAGTCCCAGCTACTCGGGAGGCTGAGGCAGGAGAATGGCGTGAACCTGGGCGGCGGACCTTGCAGTGAGCCGAGATC